GAGGGGTTCGGAGCCAGGTGGCTGAAGTAGCACCTCTCACCTACCGGAGCAGCACAAACGCTCCAAGTTTCACCATGCACCCTGCTGGCAAGGCCCAGGGGACGCAGGCGATCTCACCGACGGCTGGTGGGGGCGCTACAGGGGACAACTGTCACGGGGGGGGGGGGTCTGGCAGCACCTAACAAAATGGCACACCCATCGGCTCTCTGCTTTAGCAGCCCACTTCCAGGAATCGACTCTGAAAATGCCACCACAAACATGAAACAAGGCGTGCACACGATCATTCACCAGGGTGCTGTGTGTGACAGCAGGAACCGGAAGCAACCCGAGTGCCCATCAGCAGGACACGGGCTGAGCACAACACGGCACGTGAACACAGCACACACCGCGTGCTGCTAACACGCGGGAGAAGGCGCTCTGCGTACTGGTGGGGAGACATGTCCAGCATCAGCCAACGGCAGGGCAGTGTGCACGGTGTGTCACTATCTAGGCAAGGAAGGAGGCGAAATAGGAACAGACATTTCTATTTTTCTAGACTAATAAAAATAATGGCTACCAATAGGGTTTGGGGAGAACAAGATAGGAACACTGGGAATAAGACTTCTCTGAGCACATATCTTCTATAGTTCTGATTTTTAAAAAAGCCTTATTTTAAAATAATTGTAGATTTACAGAAAAAATTGTAAAGATAGTACAGAGACTTCTTATATACTCTTCACCCAGCTTCCCTTAACGGTGACACCTTATATGACCATGGTACACTGATCAAAACTAAGAAATTAATTTTGGTACATTATTAAACAAACTATAGCCTTGACTCAAATTTAAATTTTTCCCAAAATCCCTTTTCTGGTCCGGGATCTTAACCAGGACACTACATGGCACTCAGGCATCACCCTTCTCCAAGCATCTGCTGGTGTGTAACTGCTTCTCAGTCTGCCCTTGCCCTCGACTGAGGCCTGCCTGGGGTCTCCCCAGGAACGAACCTGGGGCTCTGAGGGACACTGCCAGAGAGGCGAAGCGTCCTTCCCATCCCACCGCACCAGGACGGCGCCCTACTGCCGGCCTTAACCACGAGCACTTGGGCAAGACGAGATCTGCCAGGTTTCTCAGCGTAAGTTGCTGTTTTCCTTCTCTTTTTTCTACTCCTGAGAAGTGAGTCGTGAAATACAGCCCACGCTCAAGGGTAAGGGAATGAAACTCCACCTCCTGGAGGGAGGGGTAGAAAGAATGTGTGGGCAAATGTTAAAACCACCACAGTGATTAGTAATCATTTGGGGGCAACTATTTTGCAATGCAAAATACTATCCTAAATACCTATTTGTCTTTACAGTTTCACCCATTAATTATAGCATTTATTTCTGGAGTGTGGCTGCATTATTAGGGTGTTCTGATGGCGATTTTCCTTCAGGGATGAAAAGAATCCCAGCCCACAGGGAGACAAACCACAAATACGTTCAAGCCGGTTTTGCCTTGCTGTCCTTGACCAAACCCCAATGCTAATAATCTAGCGCAGGTGCCTTTAGAGTTCAGGGCACTGAACAATACATGAGATGTGGTGAAAATAAATGTGCATAAATAGAAAAGAAACAGTCCTCTGAATCATACACCGCCTGAAAAAGTTCTTGCCCCATTCTATAATAACTCTGTTCCCTATTACTCTTCCATTACTTTTTCACCCTCAGGTCGTAAATGTTCTCACTAGCAGTTCATGATTGCCTTGAAGACCGAGAGATTTATGAGGTCCTCGAAGGAAAAATCGCACACGAACGAGCAGCTCATCAAGGCATTCTGGCAACATCTTCCAAGAATGGGCCTTAGATATTTCATTTTATGTGACGAGAGATTACACTCATTTTTTAACATCCAGAATTACGGACACTTACAAGTTGGAAGCAATAGTGAAAGTCACTACTCAACTTATTCTCACGGTACAGCAACGCCCTTGAAACGGCAGCATTTGGTCACTCGCTAACCTGCATTTGGCCACTTTCATTACTGGGACCTCAGCAGCCCACAAAGCAGCCCACGGCACTGCCGAGTACCGACGACTGGTGTGTGCGCAGTACCGTTGATTCTTGGGTTAATTATACACCGGTTCTGATCGGTTCTGTTCATGCCCTAGCTCTGGTGCCTAAGTGGTGCAGAAGAATGAGTGAATGACATCTACCTTTCAACAACTCTCTATGGTTCCCACTTAGCTCCTTGAAAATACCTTTCCCTTATCTACTGATCGCCTTCCAAATTCATTAAGACAGTTTTCACACTCCATTCTCTTCTTCAGGGCAAACACCCCATTTACTAGATTTGGTTTTAAGTGTTTCAAGATCACCCCTAAACATTAGCAAAATGAAAAACAATACTCTTTATACCGTTGGTATGGTACATGGGGGATGGCAGGTGACAATAATAATATACAACACGTCCAGTGAGAGGCCGCTGAGTTGCAACATGCCTGCAAGCTGCTTGTTTGCAACCCACCACTCACAACCCACCACTGGGAAAACGGAGCTGATGAGACAGGAAGCAATTGCCCCATGCATATACCACTAGCAAACGGCGGAGCCAGTTTGTCATTAGATTTAGACACAGCCTTTCCTCTACGTGCACACGTGAGGCTTCTGTAATGGCAACAGTACGTCCATTTCTGTCAAGTTGGCCTTCCTCATTTCCAACCGGGACAACTCGGGTTCTGTCAATTTAATCTTTGCTGGTGAATCTACATCTTGTTAGCCTGAGCCTATTATTTCAGCCTTTAGGACCTCTTTGAACCCTGAGAGTCATCTCACATGCTTGCTAACTCCAAGTTTTGAGTGCATTTATTAATCTGAGAAGCCTGCCTCTTACACATTTGAAGTTGGTAATAAGAAGTGCTGGTCAGCCCTGGTCGGGTGGCTCACTTGGTCAGAGCATCATCTAGTACACCAAAAGGTAGCGGATTCAGGCTCCAGTGTGGGTGCCTACCAGAGGCAATGGAATGTCACATCAATCTCTCTCCCCACTTCTCTCTCCCGAAAGCCAATAAACATACCCTTGGGTCAGGATTTAAAAAACAAAGTGCTAATCAGAGTAAGAGCAAGACCAGAGACCTGTAACCTATGTCTAAAGACCTCTCATCATTCAAGCTGACATCAATTCATTAATCAACAGTCGAGGTTTAGTAATATAATGGACATAAATCCACCTAATTAGACCTCATCCACTGTACACCTTCCTGACTAGGGCAGGAAGATACTATGTTTCGAGTTCTAAGGAAACCTAAACGGACTCACACCCCCCATCCAACACCAATCTAATAAACTTAAAAAAAGGATTACCATCTGTGTCACCCAGCTTTACTGAAAACTGAAACTCTGCTGGTTTGAGGGAACCAGCTCTCCATTCCCAAGTACTCAAAAACGCCCTTTTTGCTCTGCCAACAAGATTCTAAAATAGATTACTAACAAGGTCAAGCATCCAAGAGCCATCTATTTAGTCTGCAAAAACTGAGGCCTTTATCCGACTCCGGATTTCTATCGTGAACTGCACTGTTAGGATTCCAATGATTTTTACAGTCATACCTGCAATCTCTCTGGCAGAGAATTTTATCAGAGCCTAAACAAACAAACGAAATTTAATCCAATTAGGTCTTCTTTACAATTTCCTCAATTACCATGCACGCAATTCCTCTTGATTTTGTTTGACCCTATTCAGTTTTGGAGAAGGCAGACAAAAAAACATTTTTCTTCCTCCTAGACGCTCAGTGAACTCACTGCTTTCAAACAAGCTCTTGAAATGAACTACTCACGCGCTGCTTAATAAGGATGGGAACACGTTCTACGCCATGTTCCATGAGAGAGTATCATCACTGGGCGAACATCACAGGGGCACTTACACGAACCTAGACGGCGTTGTCCACTACACCTGGGCTACCAGGCTGTAGAGCATGTTTTGTACTGAACGACACAAGAATCGATCAGGTGCAAGAGAACAGGATCTGATCGCAGAAGTGACCTTTCCTTATTCCTTTCCAGACTCCACAGTCGGTGTATCCAGGCGTGGAACGACACTCAAGTTTCAGACCTAACCAAAGGTGGCGCCGAGGTTCTGCGAAGCAATGTAAAGACGTGGGTAGTCTGAGGTTGTGAGGCCAAGAGTGCGCGCGCGTGTTTAGATCCCTGCCCCTTCTCTCCACCTGCTACACAGTCCCCAAACCCTACCCGCTCCTCCCACCGAGAGCCGCTACCTGTTCTAGGGTCCGCGCGGGCCTCTTTCCTCTGTACCCGCACCTCAAAACCCTCCCCCGAAGCACGTCCCGCAACCCCGCCACCTCCCGCTAAGTTCGAGCTGCCCTGGGGGAAGTGGGATCTGGGAAGAGACTCCACCAGCGGATGAAGGCGTAGACCTTACTCTACTCGACTTTCAGAGACGCGGGAGGTGGGTGGCGCTGCCCGCGGTCCGTCGGTCACTCACTCGTAGCCTGAAGGAAGCCCCTTAGCGACGTCTTTCCTTGCCCACAGCGGCCATCTTGGACGTGGGAGGTCGGGGAACTACGTCATCTCCCGGCGTCGGCGACGGAAAACAAGCGACGGGAGGCGCCTGTCAACCAATCAGAAAATAGCAGAGCTCTCACAGGAGGAAAGAACAGCCAGTCTTCTTCCTCCGGCCCTCCTCGCAGGAGGGGAAGCCGGTCAGAGGGCCCGCCCACCGGTCCTAGGGCAAAGGCAACTTCGAAGCAACCGAACATGCTAACGGAACTTGGGCGCGAGAGGCGGGCCCTGGGGAGGTTTCTTCCAATCAGCGCCCGGGCGTGCCACAGTTCGGCCAATTGTGGCTTCGGAGCTGACAGGGGCCGAGCCGGCCGTTTAGGTCCTGGGAGCCGGTAGGCCCAATGGCTAGGGAGAAACCCGAGCGAAACGGTAGGGGGGCGGTGGGGCGGGACCGCGCCCATGCGTTCAGCCACGGGCCAATGGGCGGTGGCGGCAGCAACCCGGGGCGGGACCTGGGGGCGGGCGGATCCGGGTTGGGCCGCGGCGGCGGGGCCGTCTCAGGCCGCCGACCCGCCCCTCCCGTCCGGCCGCTACCGCCGCCGCCGCCGCCTGGGGCTTGGTTGAGGCGGACGGTGGGTCTGGGCCGGAGTGTGGCACCAGTGCCGCTGCGCGGAGGGGTAAGAGGGCAGGTGAGTGCCGGCGGCGACCGCTCCGCACGAACCTTCCGGGGGGCAGAACTATGCCTTCGCCCCCGAGTGCTGCGAGGCCGCCTACCACCCGGCCGGCGTCTCTCGGCCGAATCCGGGCCCGGCTCCGCCGGCCGCAGTTGGCTCGGGGTGCGGGGGTGGTGTGCGTCCTGGGACCTGGAGGGGTGGGCTGGGCGCGGGGGGCCCGGCGGGGTTGGAGGGCGCCGCTTGGCCTTTGCCCTCCGGCCATCCCGGGGCGCACTCGCTGTCTTCCCCCGCTCCCCTTTCCCTTCCTGACGTCTAACGCTCCTGTCCCCCCTCCGCCCGCCCCGGAGGTGGTGGCAGGTGCCGGGAGCGCCCGGCCCCTCTTCGCCCATCGGGTGGGGCGCAGGCCCCTCTCCGTCGCGCTGGCCCGCCCCGTTCCGCGTGCGGCCGGCTCGCGCTCTCGCTTCCTTCCTTCCCGTCGTCACCCCGTTGGTTGGTGAAGGCGGTGTGGCTTTTATGTTCCTCTCCCTCCAAACCTCTGGTGCCCGCCGGGGGCCCGGGGGCCAGGCTCCGCTTCGCTCACTCACATTCCGGTTATAAAAACAGTCGTTGGAAATAGGTCATCTTTCTTCCCACGCGCCCTGGCTCTCTTCCACACGCTTCGAGCCCTACTAGGGAGAAGAATTCAGTGCTTTGGAGTTTGTCACTCCGGCATTGAAAACTCTCCCTCCTCGTGGCTCCGGCCTGGCGATGCAGTTCTGGCTGGCTCCCCGTGTCTAGTCCGGGAAGAGGAGACGGTTCGTGTCGTGTGTCCGGCCACACTGGCTGCGGGGGCCTCTCCCGCACCGTGTGTTGTTGTTGACACGTTTAGGACCCCTTGAAGGATATTGTTTTTGCTTTTCCAAGTGAGGGCGGTGATGCCTCAAAAGCAGCAATACTTTAAAACTGTGTTGACAGGTTCATTTAGCCTGGAAGCACCTCGGTAGCTTGGCTGCGGTGGGGATTACACAGCCCCTTGCGTTTGTCGGAGCTCGGAACCGGACACGGGCACGTGTGAATTTTATCATGTAAACGATACTATTTCCTCCCCCATTTTTTCTTCTCAAAAATGACCCGACTGGTACTTCAAAACTGAACTAACCGGTAATCCTGGAGAGGTTTTCCTTACTACTCTAAGTGAAGGCATTTAAACTCAAGAATATAGCAAAACAAAAGCAGCCTTCCTCGCTGCGGTTCATGTTATTTGGTATGACTTGCTTGAGCCGCGTGTCTGTCTCTGCAGGCCACCGGGCCGAGCTCTGCCTTACCTAATTAGTCCCTGGGGCTGCTGTGATTGATGTTTTGGTCAAGGTCCAGCCGTTTGAGGAGGAGTTTTTCTCCGTCCCAAGAAAGTAGTTTGCAGAGCTGGCTTCTCAAACTGCTCCAGAACAGCCCCTTTATCGAGACCCCCGACTTCCTCCGTCTCAGCCTCCTGCCACCCCTGCCCGTGCGCTCTGCCTCCCCTCTGCACTCAGAACTGTGAGTTCCCATCTGAAACGAAACCCCAGTCCAGACGCGTCGCCGAAATGGTTGCTGCTTCGCGTCTCTCCCGCACGCTGACGTCTCTCGGCGGCCCCTGTGGAAGAGAGCGCGTCTGGTCGGCTCTGCCCCGTCGGCTCGGGAGGAAGGAGCTCCCCAGGAGCTTCTCTTCCTGTGGGGAACACGGAGGCCCCATTTTCAATGGCGATTAAACCTTTGCTCTAGAGGCTGCTGGGGAAGTAGAAAACTGCGGAGGGAGTATGCAAATATTTTCCCATTCTGAGGCTCAACAACTGTCTTTGTTTTCAGAATGGCCTCGAGGAGAACGACAAGGGAGGTGACAGCTAGGAAAGGAGTGACCTTAGCACAGCAGGCGTGCCCCCCCCCCCCAGGGTGACCACTGAGTTTAGTGGAAACCAGGGACACAGTTTGTGCCGCGGGCAATGTTAGTGGAAGGATGAGTAAATATCTTATCTCCTAGCTCAGGGTTCCTTTTTTTTTTTTTTTAAACTAGATACCAATATAGTTTGAGGCATTTTAAGTCCCTGGAAATATTTGAATTAATGTCTTTTTTTTTTAATCACTAATCTGAAGTAGCATTTAAAAATGTAACTACTAATAGTGTCATTTTTGTGTACTTGGGTGAGTATCTTTCACTGGGAGGGTTTTTATCTTTAGAAACTGGTTTGTCTGTTGGTGGCTGCTGTGCACTGTTGCTGCGGTTGGGGGTGGGGAGGGAGTTTCAAGTGTGCTTCCTCCTAGCACCTAAATCCTGGGACTGGAGCCTGGAGTTTGTTCCCCCACGGAGGCCTGGCAGTCATTTGTTACAATGGCACTAAACACTTGTAAAGAACAGTGAATGTATCTGTATTCTGTTGTTTTGGAAGTTGCTGGTGGCCCGTTATTTATTGCTGTGCATCCTTTTTTTCTCTCCATTGTCGTGCAAGTGCTCATCGTGGCTATCTGCTCACTCTGAGTCGTGTGCAGCCAGTTGAGAGAATGAGACTAAGGATTCCTTGCTCTCACATTTTCTCAATGTTCACTTTTGTTGCATTTACAGGTGTATCTTACCTGGCAAAATTGACTTTTGTACATTAGATTTCTTTATACCATCTCATATTTTCCTATTTATAAAATCAGAGATGTTAAATATTTTGATTTGTAAGTCTAGTTAATTTCTATGTTTATTCTCAAAGTAAAAATAACTTTCTAACAAAATATTAATACACACAATATAATTTTCTATTACAAAGGAATTGAGACTTTTCTGTTTTAAGTTACTTAGTAGGCTTAAGGAGAAAAGTTTAATTAGCACAATCGGCAAGATTAGAGGTCCTGGTTTTTGTCGTAAACCTCACTCAGTAACCCACTCCGCAGATTAGCTGGGTAGGCAGATTTCCAGGTGGGGCGTTACCTCCAGGTTTTGTAAATAAACAGATTGTAAAACGAGCGGTACAAACACAGGTGTTGACAATTTTCAAATGAGATACATTTGATTGGAAGAAAAATGATACCGAATGATTATAAAATGCAAATGTCAAAGTTAAGACTTTGAAATTCTTTCTTATTCAAGAAAGAAAGTTAATTAATAATCAAGCTAAGTCTAAACACTCTTGGCTGACAATGGAAGACAGGTCTACTCTGAAGTTCAAGTTCTGTAAGAGATCTGAGGCATCCTGTTTACCAAACTAAAGTACAGTTTTACACGCTCAGGCCCGGTAACGGGGGTATGGGGGGAGCTGAGGGCGGAGGGGCCGAGCAGTAAGAAATGCTTCCACTGTTTTTTTGTTTCTTGAGGAACTGGAGAATTGTCTAGAGCATGGAGACCATCACATCAGGTGTCTCCAGAGGACTGTTCATAAATATGCAGTGTTTTAGGCGTATTACCTATGTGAGATCCTGCGTTTCACTTCCCGCCTTCTCTTAGGACACAACTCAGTAGGGCATGGCAAGGTCTGAAAAATCACGTGACTGAGTGGTTTTCAGGTTTCAGTCTCAGTAAACAAGCATGACTTCACGTCAGTAGCAGCTTTCTGTGAGGTGCAGGTAAGAGAAAGTGGGGTTAGTGTTGAAAAGGAGCCATTAAAATTGCTTGTGCTGTAACATAGTTACTAATAACTAATAAAGCTTTTCCTTCGTTGAGTGTGATGCTTCAGTATTGCCCCGCGTCATGGGCACCCACGTGGTAGCTGCAGTTTGCCCACTGCACCGTGTCCCTCTGGGCGCACGTCTGAAAGGTTGTGTTGACTGCGAGACACTGCGCTTCAGTGAAGGGGGTTTTTCTCCGAGTGGCTTCGTCCGCTTCTGGAAGCACGTCCCGGAAGCACGTTTGGTCTGGAGAAGCGAAGGCCGAGGAGGGTGCAGGGAGCTGTCTTCGGAAATGTGAAGGGTGGTTTCTCTTTTTAAAAAGGCAGAATTGGGAAGTTGAAGCGGACAGTGAACTTTCCAGAGCGAGCAGCAGGCGCCCTCAGAACCTGGGGTCCTGCCCACCTCTGCCACTTGAACCGCAGGCGGTGCCCCTGTTGGGATGGCGGGCTCACCCCTGCCTCTCCGAAGGTTTCGGGCTGGAGTTTGACGGTGGACAGCGAAGCACTTGGAGAGCCGTAACTGCTCCGCCACGTGGGGTGCAGTTATCTTAAACATTTGCGGAGTCTGTGGTTAACACAGGGGACTCCAAAGGTCCCTTCCAAACCTGAAAGCCGGCTGTTCTAGACTCCACGGAGGATGCGGAGGTTTCGAGGTGGTTTCCCGACAGATTCCAGCTGTTCCTTCACACTGAACAGTTCCCCTTTTCGTTAGGAAGATTTAATAGGACGTGATTGCTCGTGATACCATTGATGCCTTGCTTTCCGGAAAGTTTTTTCAAAATAGAATCCTCTTTTTTAAAAAAAGATTTTATTATTTTTTAGAGAGTGGGGAAGTGAGGGAGAAAGAGAGGAGAGAAACATCGATGTGCTAGAGGTAAACATTGATTGGCTGCCTCTTACACGCCCCCAGTGGGGGGGTCCCTGACTGGGAATCGAACCTGTGAATGCTCCGTTCATAGGACGATGCCCAATCCACTGAGCTACACCAGTGATGGCCATTTAAGTGTATTTACAAATTAATTCAACTGAAGTTTAAAACTAAAACTATTATGTATGGAAAAGTCAATCAGAAATGGTTTAAGCATTTCTAAAATTGTGTAAATTAGTAGAAAAATAGCAAAATATTGTGGAAGGCAAGAAACATCTGTATTTTTTTTTAAACCTCGATTTCGAGTGTGTGTGTATCTATCGCTCTCTATAGGACAGCCCGAAATGTTCTGTGTGAAGATTTAAATTATACTTCCATGCAGCTGATAGGTCTGCATTCATCTTTGTAGTCAAGTAGCTCCCGAGCTGACATGAATTCCGCTTGCCTGCTTGGCTGTGCGCCTCGACTCCTGGGCACGTCTGAGCCGTGGCACGTCTGGGCCTCTTTGGCAGAGATGGGAATGGTGGGCGCCAGGTAACCGCGTAAACTGGTATAAGTCAGCGTGGCCTTACCCTACCGCTAGTCCCTGCCACGTGCAAAGTGAGGACACATTTCCGACACACACTAGTTTCGGTGAACGTGGCACCGTGTACATGTGAAGACTATGTACCTCATCAGTGCCTGTAGGAGAGCGAAGACATCACACAGTTCCTTTTCAATCTGGGAGTGCTTTCGTTTTCCTAACCCACCATCCTGTAATTTGTGCCTTTTACTCAGAATGCAGTAATCTGATCCTAGTGGCCTGCAGAGTATTTAGTGAGATTCTTCTCTTCCTACACAAAGATGAGGCCGGCTCGCACACCCCCTCGAGTCCAAGTTACAGCCGGGTGCCTGAGGGGGAGGCGGCCCCAGGCCATTCTGTCCTTCCGTCCATCCAGCTGTGAAGTCGGGCGCACTGGGAACCAGCTGCTGGGTTTGGGCTAAGGTTTCCTGGATAAATTGCCAAATAAGTGTAACCAAAAATGTTTATTCTAGCTGCATCTCATCGAAAGCAACTGAGGAAAAATACAAATATACACCCTTTCCATTTAGAATTTTTTTGGAAAACAAAAAACCCCTCATGCAGCTGAATTCCATCGCTGTCTTTTCAGTGTGTGTGAGCTACACTTTGTAAAAATGGGTGAAGCACCCAGCACCCTCCCTCACTGCCACCCCTGCCATCAGCCAAGGTCCCTGAACGTACTTAATCCCCTGCCTCCTGACCCGGTTCTTCCCCTGCACGGATGAGGTGTAAAAGAACCGTTCAGCTGGTCAGAAGTGGTTGTTGGTCACAGATGCCCCTTGCACATGAGTGGTGTAAGTAACAATTGAGTGCAAATTTATTGTTACTGTCTCCCAGAGGTCTTCTATCAAGTAGGTTGTTGATGGGCTTGCTCAGTAGATTTTCTTTTGAAGAGCCACATTTTGAGGACTCGGGAGGTTTTGAAACCGACTTGACATTGAAGAAAAGTGGACGCTCGGGAAACTCCCGCACAGGCCCGTCGGGGAGACGCCCCTTCCTCCGCCCGGCGCCGCCCACTGCGCTTGTGCGCGGGCCGCTGGTCCGCTGGTTCCTTCTGTGCTGGCGTTCTGCGTGTTTCCTTTTCCTTAGGCGTTGTTTAAACCCATTTTTTACCCCGTGCTTTGTTTCTCTCCAGATAATTCAGTAGGAATTTGTAAATTATACCTGATTTCAACCTAGACTTGGGGAAAACAGCTTTCATTTAGCCTTGCATCTCAGGCTGGCGTTTGGGATTTGACTTGAGTGCGTGTGTGTGCGTGCACGTGTGCAGACGTTTAGTTTAGCACACCTTTGTATTTTTCTCATGTAAGTCTTTGGAACAAATACTGAAGATAAACACGAAACTTACGAATGTCCGATAGTAGTTTTTCCACTGAGCATTAAGAGCCTTCACGACACCTACTCAACTGGTGTATTCGTTGGAACTTGGGATCTGCCTCCAGATTCAGCTGAAATCACAATAAAAATTATTCATCGTCTGCAACAAATTTTTGAATTCTAAAGGAAGGGGTGGGTAGCTGTTTCAAATCCGTGGTGTTGGGGCAGTCTGTGTTAGCTAATGACGGCGGTTGAATTTAGGAAACCTTTCTGCTGGACTCGAACACCATCTCACACTTGTTCTTAACACGCAGTTTTCCTTCTCCAGTGTCCTTTCTTCCTTGCGCCTCTGTCGCGTTACTTTCCCCAGGTATTTGAAGAGGGCTCCGCTGCGAGCCTCGCTCGCTTCCCTGCCCCCTCTCCCCTAAAGGCGCGCTCGGCCTTCCCTTGTTTGGGGGTCTCCTGCACCAGCCGGCATGGCCCCTGCGCCTGGAGCCACGGAGCCTGCTCAGGCCAGTGCACCTGGGCTTCGAGCCTGCCCGTGTGCTAGACAGAACGCTGCGGGGTTTCAGGCTGGACACCGTGGGTCCCCTGCTTGGGGCTTGACCAAGAGACAGCTGAGCATGAGGCCAAACGCAGCTGTCGTTACCACTGGCCTCTGCAGGTGTGGCGGGGACCCAGGGAGGCCGTGGGCGGGACGTGCCCGACCAGCACAGAGCCCCATGCGGACGCCTGTGCGCCTGGTCAGGGGCGGCTGTCGGGAATGGACGTGGTCCTGCTTCCTAGCTTTCTGACAGACCGAGAACTCACCTGCCCAGGGAGCAGCCTGCCGTTCCCCGCAGGACAGGTCATTCAGGGCCTCGTTCGCGTCCGTGGTCTGAGCCCCGAGCCAGGCACTCTGCGTGTCCTGGGGGGCACGGTGGGGGGCAGACGAGCCTCTCCGGGAGAGACCACGGGCGTGTGCGTTTCCGTGCCCAGATGACGACTTGTGGTTCGTGTATGTGTGCGTGACTTACACCTCTGCAGTGTCACGAGGTAGACACATTAGCGTACAGAATGAAATCAGTGCAATTTGAAAACAATTCTGGAGTAAAATTTCCTCCCACGACAGTTTTTGTAGGGAAAAAGGACTGCACTTTTCCTCCAGAGACTCCAAAATAGGCTTTTTGTTTTCATTTGAGAACCTCCGAGTACTAGTATTTATTATGCTTTATTATATTTTTTTTTCTGGAAGGAAACTTCAGGATATGGCCCGTGGAAGATAAATTCCTAGCATCTTAAGGCTTAGCTACTGTGGTGCCACATTTTATTTCTTGACTTTTTCCTTGGAAATGTAATGTTTTCTCTTTGTCTTTTTTCCTCTTCTTTGCAGTCAGAAAATGGGTAAGAAGAGTCGAGTGAAAACACAGAAATCAGGAACTGGTGCTACAGCAAGCGTGTCGCCGAAGGAAACCTTGAACCTGACGAGTGAGCTCCTGCAGAGTGAGTGTGCCGCTGGTCTTCCCGCCCTCCCGCGGGGCGTGTGCGTTTGTGCCCCCGCCCCTGCAGGGCTCTGTGGGGGTGTCGCCGTCCGGTGAGGCGTGACGTTAGATCGGAGACCCGGGCAGTCACAGAAGCCCCCTGCCCGCTGTCCCCCTGCCCGCGGTCCCCCTGCCCGCCTGGTGGGGCGCTGCCGCCAGTAGGCGCCGTGCGACTGCCCGTGGGTGCCGAGGACCTGCCGAGGCCCGATGTGGCGCTGGCTGTGCAGCTCCTGTAGCGCGGGCTCCCGGGCCGTGGGCTGCTCTGGGCAGCGGCGGGCAGCGGCGGGCTCGCTGTTGCAGCGGTGTGGCCTCAGACCCGTCACTCAGCCCTCGGGTTCCCGTGGCCGTCTCGTTCAGTAAAGGCCGCCCTGGGGCCCGAGGAGGACTGTGCGAGCTGGGGCAGCGAAGGGGCACGGTGGGCACGCGCGGCGTCCGCTCAGAGAGCGGCCCTCGGAGCGGGAGTGGGGCCTTTCCCAGGGCGGCTTGCCTTCACGTTCGGTGATTCGGTGACCGTTTTCCAGTTCTCACGTGCTGAAGTCACGAGCTCTTGGTTCGAGGGAGTTAAATACCTTGCTTCAGTGAGTTCGTATAAACTGGTAACTTCTTTTAAAGTGGTGACTTTAAATTGGTGCTGTGTGTGCTTTAAATTCAGCCGTGGCCACTCGGTCACCTTACTGCACTTGTCTCGCGTGCTTGCCCCTCACGTGGGGATTAAGTGACAGGCTGAACCGCAAATAAACACTCAGCTTTCTCCCGGACAAGCAGGTAGCCACCGAGTGAGGGCCGGGCACCCCCAGGGCCCGTCTCCCCTCCCGCCCCGGGACAGTGCGGGCCATCCACAGAGCGCCGTGGCGCTGACCGCCCACCCGTCTCCCACGCTGGCCTGGGGCAGCTCGAGGGCGGGCCCCGTCTGGTGTCCGGGGCCTCGGCCAGCACTTGTCGGTGGGAGGGTGAGGGGGACTGGTCAGCTTTCATGGTCGTGCGTGGGCACACAGCTGGCTGCTGCCCCTCACTCGCCACAGGTGCTCCTTTCCTCGCAGGACGGAGGGGCCGAGAGGGCCAGCGGGAGCATGGGGAGGGCTCCCTGAGCTGTTTGAAAAGGGAGGCGCTGCTGGCAGGTCGGCCGGATGCCGGGCGCACAGCCTTCTGAGACACCGGCCCGGTCTCGGCTGTTGGTTCCTTTGGTTCTGGTTCGGCAGCAGAGTCTCAGCTCCTCTTGAGCGCTGACGGTGCCTTCTCTGGCACAGACTCCCCGGAGTGCCGAGTGCAGCCCTCGCACACGCGTGTGGAGCGTTTGCGGGCTGGGAGTCCTTGTGTCCAGGTGAACGGTTCCCCCAGGGGCCGTCGTCACGGGGCTTACCTAGAGAGAGACGGGGACTTTGGGTATTAGCCTCTCCCACCCCCAGGATGGCTTTCCGGGCCACCGTGTGCACTTTGGCGTGGCCCCTTAGGTCCCCCTGTGCACAGCTGGACTCGCAGGGGAACGTGTCCGCGGCCGGAACGGGGCAGATGGAAGCCAGGCGCGCACACCTGAGTCCTGGGGCCGCAGGTGGGTGGGCGGCATTTGGGTGGCGTTGGAGGGTGGGTGCGCTCGACGAGGATTCCTCCTTCATGCTTCTCGTGTTTGCCCTCTGGCTGCCGTGTCTCTGTCCTCTAAAAGTAAACCAGCCCCAACGGCCCGGCCCCCTTTCTCCTCCAGAGCACAGGTTACGGTGAAGGAAGCGTCTGAGCCCGTGGTTTTTATGTTGCAGAATGCAGCAGTCCTGCCCCCGGCCCGGGGAAGGAGTGGGAAGAATACATGCAGATCCGGTCTCTAGTGGAGAAAATACGGAAGAAACAGAAAGGTACATTTGCTGGAACGATGGCCGCACTCTAACAAAACCGCGTAGAGAATCGGCCTGAGTCAGAAGGCGTGGGGAGTCGTCAAGTCTCTGCCACTCACGTCCTCTGCAAGGTCGCGGTCGTCGGAGGGGCCGCTGGACTGGGAGGGGCGGGGCTCCTCTCTGAGATGCCGTTGCCTGCTTTGGGGGGAACATGTTTGTTTCTGGGGGCTAAAGTGCTACAACTTCCACGTACCTTTATTTTGTGAAATGCACGTTTAAATCTTTTTCCGTGCCGTGCTTCAGTCAGGGTTTGAGGTCTGTCTGTAACGCTGTGTGTGGTCAGCACACAGGTAAATACTGATTGGTTAAGGTCCACCAAGATTTACGACGGACTCAGCCATATTTTGATTAAATAAGAGATGTGGGTGTATGTCCCAAGCTGTGCTTTTACGGGTGTATCCCGGAGACACTGGCTTCACTCTCGGCCAGGCTAGTGGTGGGGCCAAGTGTCGGCTGAAAAAGCCCATTCAGTCCTCCTGTGGGTTTCCTTCTGTAGGGCACAGAAGGGGAGATTGGTATTCAGGGCCGCACGGGAGCGGCGGGGAAGCATAACAAGTAGCCTGCGTCTAAGAGGATGAGAAGAACCTTCTGGGGCTCCTTGTTTGTTTATTGTCTTAAAAGTGAGTCAGAGGAGGGTTTGCTTCTTTGCCGTCTGAGGCAGTGGCTTTATTGCTCCCTCAAGCACACCTACACACGCGCAGCCTTGGGCTAGAGGGTCTCGGACCCCACGTGGAGATGGGCCCTTTGTAGGGCGCTCACCTCCGCCCCGTGTAGTCCGCGCTAGTCCTGGCTCGCCGGAAAAGTGGCTGAGAAGTCCTGCGTGTCCTGCATGTCTCCTGAGGAGAGACTGTTCACTGCTGCTGACACCAGACGCAGGAGGGCTCCCTCATTCTCGGGAAGTCTTCGGTGATCCCTGACGAGGTCGGTTTTCTTCACCGAGCAGGGATCTGCCTGTCTGGCCTGGTGCGCCGCCGCGCCGCGCCAGGCCGCTGCTGCACGCATGGGCCTTTAATCGGACTGGCCTCCACCCCCAGCTCCTTGTGTTGGGTTCCTGTTCTCCTCCCTTGCTTCATCAAAGAAATAGTGATTTTTCCAGTGCGTGGCTTTTCATCTTTCTGAAAAATATTTCAAGCTGAAAATTCCAGAAAGTAATACACCACCACCTGAGAACCTACCACCCAAATTGAACACATGTCAAACCCTTACCTGTTCAAGTTCTCTTTCTCTTCTTTTCCCCCACTGGTCTGAGTCCCTTTCTCTCCCTTCCTTGTTTGTTTTACTTCGTGTCCGTTTTTAAGAAATAACTGTTACACGTAGAGCTAGCTGAAGCCCCAGGCCTCCATCCCAGCCCCTTCTCTCTCCCCCTGGCGGGGGCGTGGTGTTTATTGTGAATGTTTTCTACTTCATGTATAACCCCATGAACACATGTGATAGTGATCGGTATTTTTAAAATTGACATATGTGGTATCATTCTTCTGATGTTTAAAAACTGTCACATTTTGTATCGACACTGTAGATCCAGCTCGTGGAGGTTGCTCCCCAGGACTCGGGGGCAGAGCCCTCCGGTCTTGTGCTCCTAGGATCAGGGCTCGTCCGCACGCGCGGCGCCTCGTGCATGTGTGAGCTGCTGGCTTTTCTTCTCGCGGGAAGCTCGTTACAGCGAACGTGCCTGCGAGAGACGGCCCGTGGGTTCTTGGGGGCGCCGCTCTGTCGGCCTGCAGCGGTTAGCGGGGTTCCCTCTTTCCCAGCAGACTGCCTCGGCCGGCCCGAGGTCCTGTTCCCCGGGGGTCCAAAGTGTTTCTCTGTAACCCACAGGAGTTTCAGATTTCAGTTCGCCTTTCCTGTCACTGTAACTCTCTGGCGGTTAGCCTGGCTTTTTTCAAGATCAGAGTGTTACTACTATTTCTCTTGTTAGTTACTGTCCTTTTTATTTTCTGAGCGCAGCATGAATGATACATGTCCTAAAAGTAGTTCTTGTTTTGTAAAACATGGATTGATACAGGTCTGTCTGTTACTTTTGATGGAAAAAGAGAAGATTACTTTCCTGATCTAATGAAATGGGCCTCTGAAAATGGAGCTTCGGTGGAGGGCTTTGAAATGGCTAATTTCAAGGAAGAGGGCTTCGGTTTGAGAGCGACAAGAGACATCAAGGTGAGTTTAGAGGCTGCTGGTCTTGGGGGAGGCGTCAGAGTGTGTCTGGATTGTGTCGCGTAGAGGACACAGGTCCTGGAGCCAGAGGCTTGGGCTCGCTCTGGGCCCTGCGGCCCGGGGCCAGGGGCAGCCGGCCTCTCCTGCCACCGCGGCCCCTCACGGGGAACACGGCCCCGTGGGAGCCTGACTGCGGGCGAGTCGGGTCACAGTGCTGGGCCTGTGTCAGGAGACCGTGGAGCGTGCCTCGGGGGTCCTGAGACCTAACCGTAGAGAGGGGTGTGGGCCCCGGGGGCCTGCAGGCAGAGCACCCGGGGCCCGCTGGTGGACTGGTGTTGGGTGTGGGCGGGTGGGGGGCGGGCACATTTTGGGGGAAATGAGCAAGCCGAACTCTGTCCTGTGGGCTTGTGCCCTTGCTGGTGGCTGTTGTGTTCCGGAGACAGGAATGTTCAGGAGGGACTGGCACTCCAGCTTCAGACACTCAGTGCTGGGAGCAGCTCACACGGACAGAGGCTTTGTTGGAGGGGGAAATTTTGTTCTGTTTTTAGCACTTAAAAATATAAGTATGGCAAAGAATGAAATAAATATCTTTGTGCTTTGTCCCAAGTTGTTATATTTACTTTGTATTAAAGTCAAAAGTCTCTTTTGGTTGTCTTCCCAGTCTACCAGTTAGTTTTCCTGCTGGAGGCAGGATGTCAGAGCGGCCCCCACTCACCCAGTGACAGCGTGAGCGCTCACATGCACTGTGCACTGGGGAGCGGGAGCGCGGCGCCGCCGCCGAGCCGCCCTCGGCTGTCTCCGTTGTGGCGGGCTGTCCGACCGCAGACGCGGCCGGGCCGGGGGTGGAGGGCATTGTGTTCTCACGGTTCCCCTGTGTTCTTATCTCTTCCTTCCAGGCAGAAGAGTTGTTTTTATGGGTTCCGCGTAAATTACTGATGACTGTTGAGTCCGCCAAAAATTCAGTTTTGGGTGAGAATAATTTCCGACTGTTCATAGCAGACTGAAAGTGATAGAAACATACAGAATTTCATTTTGTGGCCCTAAGGACCCTGTTTGGTGTTTTTTAACTAGTGAACTTCCCCCCAAACCCACATTAGCTGTTTTACACACTTATCACAACCCCACGTAGCAGACGGATGTCGGAAGGAAGATGCGTGCCCCTTTTTAAGTGTTCCAGTCCTGCTTCGTTCTTTCCGGGGCTTGAGCAGTAGAGATGGGCACTTTCTGGAGAAGCCGGGGACTCACGCTGTTAACCTGTGGGTTGCTCCAGGGCCCCTGTACTCTCAGGACCGCATCCTCCAGGCCATGGGGAACATCACGCTGGCCTTCCACCTGCTGTGCGAGCGGGCCGACCCCGGCTCCTTCTGGCAGCCCTACATCCAGACGCTCCCCAGCGAGTACGACACCCCGTTGTACTTCGAGGAGGAGGAGGTCCGGTCTCTGCAGTCCACACAGGCCGTGCACGACGTCTTCAGCCAGTACAAGAACACGGCCCGGCAGTACGCCTACTTCTACAAGGTCATCCAGGTGAGCGCTGGCTGCTCGCGCCGGCTGCGTGCGGGGGCGGGGCTCGGCGGGAGGGGGCTGATCGCACGACGCTCACCGGGCCTCTCGGTGCCTCAGCGGTTACGTTGTAAGGGGTTCTAGTGCGTTGTTTCCATGTTTCCGGAACCGTCACTGAAATGTGGCCAGCGTCCACTGTTAACATCAACAGCGGTTGTTCTCAGGTTGTGAAAGTCACCAAGGTCTTATGAAAACAAGGTGCAATGAAAATTTAAATGCTCTACAACGTAATACAAAAAAGTGCTCTGCGTATAAATTTTCCAAGAAAAGGAAACTCCATTTGTAGGTTCTTCCTATGTATTGGTAGTAAAATATTGGCAGTTAATTTACTGAGTTACAATGCTGGTTTTTCTCCGTTTCTTCAGAGTGTACTGTGTATTACTGTGTTAGTTCTACTCGTTCTAAGTAAAGGTCGTAAGTCTCTGTAAAGTTTGGAACGGGGCCGCGAGGCCCGTGCTGACGGGAGTGCAGCTTCCTGCGAGAAGGACTTGGGGACTGAAGCCACTGCTGCCGGCCAGCCGGTGTGGGGGTGACGGAGAGGGCGGCGTTCGAATCCCCGCATCGCCACTTGGGCATCGCCACTTGGGGCCGGGCCAGTCTGGGCAAGTCTCTGCGTCCGCTCTGTCGCCCGTGCGGCGGCGCGGCGGGCACACCGCCCTCCTCCTGGGGTTGCTGAGCAGGCCAAGCGAGCGGTTTGTGTGCGGCGCCCCGTGCGGCCGGACTTGGGATGGAGGCGCTCCTGTGAGTCACCCTGTTGTGTTTCCACCCTTCAGGCCGTGTGGTCTGTGGGTTTGTTTTTTAATTTTTTTAGGTTGCTTCTCCCACCGACCCCACAGTACCTTGTGTTGGTATTAATCTTCTCTGCTGAGAAACTCCCATTCATAAGTGACCCATCTCAAGCTCAGAATGGCTTCGAAGTCTCATGTTTTGTTGCTGTGGTTGCTGGTCTTTGGTTTCATGTTTTTAAATCTTAAAAATTAATGCAAATGTTTGTTTTCAATAGTTTTAAAAACTGTTAAATGACATAGTGTCCAGTCAGACTGGCAATGTGGGAAAACAGCTCCGTCTCTCCTGTGACCCCACCTGCCCCGGGTGTCCAGGAACCCACCGCGTCCCACCCAGCGGGAGAAGCGCTGCTTCCCGTGTACAGCGTGGCCACCCCGACGGCGTGGGCCGTCTGGGTGTGGCTCTTTCTCAGGAGGACAACGTGGGACTGTCACTTAACGTCGGGACCGACAGGCAGCAGAGGAGGCAGTCGTTGCGGGATGAACGTAGGGCGCGGTGAGCGCCGGGGGAGTTCCTAACCGGGGCTTTGTCTTCAGAACGAGCAGCTCTGCCCGGCGCCGGCCGGTGTGGCCGTGGGCTGGGGGGCTTCTGCATGACGCCTCTTGACAAGGAAAAACGGGCTGAAGCAGACAGTTTGAGAAGTCATGGTTCAGGTCTAGCTGAACGGCTTTAGAACGTTCGCATCGTGTCGCGTCTCGGAGCCGTCAGCGGCAGCCCCGGGTGCACGTGGATGTGAGCGCGGCACCGCCGGTCCTTCACTGAGGCCCGTGTTCTCGCCTCGGTGCCAGCCCCGCCTCTCTCCCGTCTTTCTGGGGTGCGGGTGGGGCTCCGCCCCTGTTTAGGAGAGCACTTTGTCGGCGCCTTACCGCTCAGGGAGAAAGGGGTGCCGTCACGTCAGTTCACGGTCACCGTTTTCATGCTTTCGTTACTGTGACCGTCCTCAGTGTGACTTTTTTTGGGGGGGGGCATTGCGACCCCTAACCTTTTTCAGGATCCGGGAGCCGCCTTCCCAGAGGAATGCGTGTGTCCTTCATCCCAAACACTTGCATACATTTGGGGGTTCCAAATTCTACAGCTTGAGTTGCTTTTTTTCCTTATAGGTCCCATGTAAAGTGACCTTGCACGGGCCCGCTCCCAGCCAGGGGTCTGACCCGAAGCCCGCCGGGTTTCTTCTGGGCGGGTGCTGGCCCAGGGGTCTGCCACAGCTCTGGGTGCGCCAGCCACGTGACAGCGGGCACATGCCCCCGTCCCACGCACGCGCCTGCGGCAGTGACCCCAAGGCCCCAGGAGGGGGGCCCCGGAACGCTCACACAGATGCTCCAGGCCTCAGGTTTTCGTCCCGGGGGGAGCCGGTGCCGTCAGGGCGTCCGTCCCCTGGTCGGCGGTCCCTCATGTGCGGGGCTCCGCGCTGCGCTTTCATCCGGGGGTCGGTCTCTCTCTCTCTCTCTCTCTCTCGCCTGAAAACTAGACAAATAACTTCCTGAGTTCTTTTCCTTCCAGCATGTGCCCTTGGTCAAGGGGCCGCTTTCAGTGGCCACTTGCTGGTTCACATTACTTTCTGTCTTAAACTTGCTTTACCAAGTTCTTTTGAACAGTCTTTCTGGGCGGGTCTTCCAGTCTTGTTCTTCAAAGTCATTGTCATGAATTTGTATCATTTTTTCCATGGGGAAAAAAACAGTCTGCTTGGGTCTGTGCTGGTCTTCCTGGTGGTGGCAGGGGCCTGAGCTCTGTGGTTGTTCATGTTCTGTACATTGTGTTACATTGTGTTTTTCTTGAGATGTTCAGTATACAGCGTTTCCTGTAGATGCTCATCAGATGATAGTGGGTCCCTGGAAGCCTCAAGCAGGTCCTGGAATAACTGTTCTGTTCAGCGTGGGTAACGTTGATGAGATGCCATAGGAATTCAGCTCTCGTCCGTATCAGTTGGCCTACAGTGAGCCTGGTTTCCTTACACGTCAGGCCAGTGAAAGGCGCAGCCCGTCCACAGTGGGGAGTGAGGGCCGCCTGACCCTTGTGTTAAGATGAAGCACCTGCTGGTGAACCTTCATGCTGCAGCCGAGCAGTGGAGGTTGGGGAATGTGGGCACCCAGACTCCAGGAGCTAAATTTAGAAGTGTGGCCCAGCCAGAGGCTGGGAGAGGCATGCGCGCGTTGACGGCCCCGTGTGGTGAACGTTCTGTCCGTCTGTGACAGGGAAGCCAGGGAAGAAGAGAGGGTTCGCGGCAGAAGGCGGTTTAATGGCACTTACAACTGTTTCAGAGTTTTTTGTTTGTTTCTTCAGGAGACTGTGTTTTTAGGGAGAGGGGAAGGGAGGGAGAAGGAGGGAGAGAAACACTGATGCGAGAGAGGTGCATCAATCATTGCCTCTTGTACACGCCCAGCCCGGGGACCGAACCTGCAGCCCCGGCATGTGCCCTGACCGGGAATCAGACTGGCGACCTTCTGCTTTGCGGGACGATGCTCAACCAACCGAGCCGCACCGGTCAGGGCTGTTTCAGAGTTCTAAACCTATAAAAATACCTCTAGCAGATTAGGGCATTCCAGAGTTCAGCTCCAAGTTGGGCATTCTGTGATGGAAATCAGCGGAAAAGTAGGATTTGGCTTAAACCCAACTGTGAAGTAATGTGATTATGTAAAAGGGAAGCAAGTTATATCAGCTTTGACTTAACATACATGAATGGTAGTCCAAATATTTTTTGTTCACGTCAACGAAAAAGAAATGGATAGCTCCTGGGAGTGAACTGCTTGTTTCACTGATAACCCATCTAAGGGACCGGGTCCTGCCGGGCGGGGTGCCAGCCTGTCCTGAGGCCACACGCTCTCTCAGGGACGTGCACGTTTCCCTGTCCCACTTTACTTGGGTTTCCTTTTTGGCATTGATCGAACAGTTCGAGAGGTGCCGGGGAGGGGTGTGGGTGGGGAAGCGTGTGCGCGCACTGGCTGCCGGGAGTTGCATGTCGAGGCATGCGTCCGATGCAGCCCGTCCACGCGTCCTGCTGGCGCTTCAGGACGAGGGGGCAGCCGAGTCGGCGGTTCTCCTGGAACAGGCACCCTCTCCTGCCCTGCTGGGGTGGTCCCAGCGGAGCCTGGGGCGGCACACGCGGGACCTGCTGAGCACGGGGCCACCGAGGGGCAGAGGAAGCTTCCACTTGGGCTCCCGGCTTCTGTCATGGTCGCGGCTGAGTACAAGCTATGGCTTCTCCCATTTTTTGTGTGTCCTCCCGTGGCAGAGCCACAGAGAGCAGCAGCAGAAGTGAACCGCCAGAGATAGATTTAGCCTGAGTTTTCCTAACGCTCGCACCTGCCTACAGAAGTCTGACCACACACAGGGCCTCAGGAGAGACCACCCAGTTGGACTGAGGACCCCCGGGCATCAGCTCCCTTCAAAGGCCCCGCTCCCTGGGACTGGAGCGCCGTACGGCTGCATCCGAAGCTGGGTGTAGACATGTGTGTCGATTGTGGACTTGACCGGCACCGGAAGGGACAACATGCGGGCATTGGTGTGACTTCATCTCCTGGTGGCAGTTTCTGCAAGGCTGTCTTCCCATTGTCCGTCCCCTCCCCCGGCGGCAGGGGCTCTGTGCGGTCAGCGCTGGCGCTGTGTCGGCTCCTCCCCTCTGCCTGGAAGCCCTTGTGGGCCTCCTTTCCAGATAGACCAGCCCACCGCCGCCTCCTGACCTTGGGCTTACCGTCTTCTCCTTTTAACCTACCGTAGCCCCTTGATTGTTTACTAATGATACAACTAGTATTTGTTGTCTCTCACGTGTGAGACGCCTCATCGGGAGAAAGGGGCTAGCGTCTCTAGGGATACAAGGGTGTTTTCCACTTTTTATTTTGAAGTAATTTTTCAGACTTCCAAAAAAACTATAAACAGTGCAAAGTTGAAAGCATGGCCATGGGTGCGGGGCTCGCACTGGCGACCTTCTGCTCTGTGGGATGACGCTCAACCAACCGAGCCGCCCTGGTCCGGGCTGTTCAGGGTTGTAACCTACGGACACACTTCCGGCGGATGAGGGCAGCCCAGGGCTCGCCTGACCTCACTCCCTCTGGCGTTTTCCCCCGGGGGCAGCTATGTTCCGTTCGTCCCGTTGTTGTTCTCAGCCGGGGTCGTGGCGGTGTCGCATCTTGTCCTGACGGAGGGCCGAGGGCGAGGGGCGCGCAGGGCTGCAGAGGAGCAGA